GTCTATGTAAGCCACTTTCGATGAAAACGACTCTATATGTCATGATATTTTTTAAATGCGACGAAACGGGTGTTGCAAAATCCAGCCTCACTGACTTGATTCATAATTGGAATATATATTTGCTTTTATTTCAGAGGGACAAACCATTTAGAATTTGATAATATATATTATACTGGGGTTATTACTTTAACTAAGGTTGTAATACTGCTACTATGATATTCGGAACCTGGATAATTGCATAACGAGACTACAAGGAAAAACCTAAGAAAATTCAGTTATTTTTACCTGTTGTTCCTCCTGTACTTTTGATTCCTATTATTTGAATGTGCCGGAGGCTGAGTTGAAATTAACGTGTTTAAGTGTTTTTTCCTCCTTAATTATTTCTGGAGAAAGAATGGATACAATATCGGCCTCCTTTTCACTTTCAATACCATGTAAAAAAGCAATAAAAAGGACTATCAAATCCTTATAGAAGGAGATGACATAGCAAAGTAGTCCTCTTTATTATCATGGTACAAAAACTAGATTTATTGCTTTTATTTTGCTTGAATTCACACCAGTTACACTTGCAGTTTTAGTATGACATGGTTCGCAATGCTTATAATGTAACATTAACATATTATTTATATATCTCTACGCAGTTTTAACTGAAAAACAAAAATAATAACAATAGAGATATAAATAGATTTAATTCTCTCTCAAAATTTTCAAAGATACACCTTAATGCTATTGGTGCTTTCATACACCATATTCACAAATCGCCGACACGCGGAAAAAAACAAAAACAAAAAACAAAACAAAAAAAAAACAACTGGTACCTTTAGTCATGAAAGCGAGGCGCTGCTAGCGAAACTTGCGCAGTGTTTAGTACAGATTCTACCTAAAATGGCTTTGTGTGGACTTCTTTTTAAATAAAATTACGTGGGATGTCTTCAGCGTTTAATGTTTAGTACTGATTTCCTGTTTGTAATCGAAAGGGACGCGTATATCTTCAAGGAAACAGGGTGATTTTGTAGGTTTCCGAAGGACCAGAAGCTCGACAAGTGGGCGATGGCTGCAGAAATTATAAAGCGGCAAACATGTTTGCACAAACTTCACACTTAAACCGAGCACGAAAGCCAGCTCACTACAATTCTGTAAAACAGAAATTAAAAAAACATCTTGGTGGCAAGAAAAAAAGAAATAAGCGACGGATTTATGGCCTACTACTCAACCCAAGAGACTTCCGCCATTGAACCGGCAAAACAGTTCGAGTCGAGAAGAAAAAAGGGAGACAGGAAAGGAGAGGTGACTGAGGTTTCGATGAAGCTGTGTTTGTTTTTTTGTTGCCAGGACATCCTTCTCTGGTCTTTATCGATGAAGAACATCAATAAGAACAAAATTTTTTAGTTTAAATGCAGAAGCGATCGATCGCGAGCTGTGGAGTACGCTCAAAATTTCAATTCGTTACTAGGTAAGCGTTACATCATTGCAGCGAGTAATTTTCGTATTTCTTTTCTTTTGCTGTTAAGAGTTTTAACCACTGTTTTAACTTTATGTTCCATAATATTTTAGGGTTGAAGAGTACATAATTAAATAAAATGATGATCTTTTTATAGATCCAGACTGGAATTTAATTGTTCGAAACAAGAGCTTGCTGTGCTTAGTTCTGACACAAACAGTACACCGGCTTTAACGTTGCATAACCCTCGATTAGTTATTTTTAACCGAGTAACATGTGAGCTTTATGCCGCTTTGTTACCAAGAGCTCTCTGAAATGATGCCCTTAAAGAGACCAGACAAATAGGACGCCATAAGATATACACACACTACAGCTTCTAAGTTTAATAAAATTATTCTATGTGGCGTAGACAAAGAAATCATGAGATTTTTGTTCAGCTCTACCAACGTACATCTTAGTAAGAACAATTCACTTCAAAGCGATGGGATTAGTCATGATCCTAAGGAAGTTGTAAATTAACACAGACATAGATATATACATCGATCAACTGAGATCAACGGCTAGAGAGGTGTGTTGGACAGTACTTCTTGTCAAACCATTGGTGAAAGTAACCATCTTGCATTTTTCAAAACTAAGTCCAAGGTCAAATGGGAAAATAAGAGTACCGTCTGGTGGGACTGTCTTGTAGTTTACACCAAGGAAAAGATGTTCACAGAATAAGCCCCCTTGCTCAGGACTGAAATTAGTGGTCGCATTAGTCAGAGGGAAAGCTACTTAGCTACTTTCAACACATTCTTCATTTCACGATACTAAATGTAATAACCCTTAAAAATAATGCACCTATCAATGTAAACCCCGTGGGGGGGGGGGGGGGGGGGGGGGNTAAAATTTTTCGATCAAATTCCCCAGGGTGGGAAACGAAAGGTCAATCAAAAGTGTCAAAAAAGCCCCCACCCCAGGGGAAAAAATCTAAACAAACAATGCTATAATACTATATAAAACAAATAAAAGAACATTTCAAACACGTTGTTACTACTTTTATTTACGGTTAACGGAAGCTCCATTAAATTACTCGCTGTAATTAAGTATTTTCTCTCTCCACTAGCATTTCTTATTTCTTAAAAGTATCGGATTATGGCGATTAAAACAAATGAAAACTTCATACCTTTCTCCAACAGCGTGACTTTCCTAAAGCCTCGAGGAACGGACTTGGTAATCGCTTCTGAATTGATACCAGGAATACCAGGCCTCTATCGGTCAAAGTCAAATGTTCCGACCCCTGGGTCGCTTCGCACGATCAAAAGCCCGACATAGGGATATTCTCAGGCATCAAATCCCCGCCCCTTGCCCGCACTCCCCCCCCCACGGGATTTACATTGACAGGTGCATAATTATGTACACTATTCTCTAAAGTCTGTATGGTAGAAGAGATCAAGGAGTGGTTTTAGTGAAAAAATAAAATTGATACTCCTAGACAATCCAAAAACCAAACCTCTTTTCTAGTCTTGGAATTATAATTATTCTGATCACTGAGTGGCAGTTACTGCTTCTGGTTAGGTCAACTAATTACTGAATTATAGTGGGATCCTGGAGAACACACTAAAAGCCTGGACTCTCCGTGAAATTATGATTTTATTCACTACAAGGAATAAAGATTGGACTGTTGGTTTGTTCCAGATATGTACCCATATATGGCAGTTGTTTATCATATTAGTAGTAACAGCTTTGTTTTAACCTCGTCCTCTGGCACCGGGTAAGTGCTACGCTTAGAAAAAAAGAAAGGGAGTACTGCATATGAAATGTCACTCCCACAGGCAGTAGGTCCCCTGACTGAATTACAGCACATTGTTTACACACAAAACACCAGTCAGGTTATAAGTCATTGTGGGACTGCCAATTAATCGGCCCTTAAACTTTAACTTCCGAAAAAAAAAAAAACTAACGAAAGAAAAGAAAAAACACTGACAATACCTCATTTAAACAAGCAATTTATCTGAGCACGTGACAGCTAAAGATTTGTTCAGGGATTGTTCGCACGGGAATCTTGGCACTACTTAAGCCCTCGGTTCCTCATAGAAAAGCACATCTTCCACTGCAAAAGTTATATTGTTTACTGTACTGATAAAGGAAGAAAGCGATACACTAAAATCTTGGGTTATATTCATTCGACTGCAACATTAAAGATACATTATTAATAATTTATAACAATTCTTCGTCCTCTTCACTCGTGAATGAATCCTTCAGCCGCTTTCTTTTTTCCACTTGTCTTGACCTGTTTTGTGTAACCGCGGAGGTCTCTTTCGTCGACAAGTAGGCCATATATCCGTCGCTTATCTCTTTTTTTCTTGGCAACAACATTTGTTTTTATTTTTATTTTACAGAATTGTAGTAAGCTGGGTTTCGTACTTAGTTTCCGGCAATGTGAAGTTTGGGCCAACATGTTTGCCATGCACTCGCCATGCATCGCCCACATCGCCATCTCGAGTTGGCAGTTCTGATGCTTCGGAAACCTACAAAATCATCTTGTTTCCTTGAAGATAGAGGTGTCTCTTTTGATTGCAAATAGGAAATCAGTACTAAACATTAAATCCCACGTAATTGTACTTAAAAAGAAGTCCGCACAAAGTCATTTTAGGTTGAATCTGTGCCAAACACTCTGCAAGTTAGTTGAAAGTCTTCATTTGCAATTTCTGTTTATCCTGCTACGCCTCGCTTTCATGACCAGGCACCAGTTTTTTTCCCATGTGTCCGCCATTTGTGAATTCGGTGTATGTACATGATTTTTAAATATTAACTACTTGTCAAATGCGTCGAACATGTCATACCTTAATTGTCTCCTTTAGGAATTTACGTCGAAAGAAAATTTTACACTCCAATAGAAGGAATAAAATATCTTCAAAGTACCTCAGATTATCGGGGGTAGAAGCGGAATCATTTGAATCTTGATATTCCTGATTCCTGTCGTTTTTGCCTCAATGATTCATGATTCCTACAAGAATTCAGATTCATGATTCACGAAGACTTCTGATCACCTATTGACTTAATGATTTTCTCAGGTGTAACTTAGTCTCCTTTTGTATTTTTGGGGTTCAATCTTCTGCTTTATTCAGACTTGGTATGGCATGGAATGTTGTTGTAACTGAACTCTAAGTACAAGGTTATTGGAGAAACAAGCGGACTGTCAGCCCCGAATGCACTAATTATATAGGAAGGAAAAATTTTGAAAATTGGACTCTCGGAAACGCCATATCCTGCATTGCCTGGATCGAACGCAATTAATTCATACGTGTATTTTGTTGAGCTTTTCTCAGAGTCTCGTCATTCATGATTCCCGAGCCGAAGTACAAAGATTCGTGATTCTTTGATGTTTTGTAACTATGATTCATGATTCATGATTCCGCTTCCACACCCGAAGATTAGCCTTATTTAATTAATAGCTATTTATACCTGACTTTTCTTTTCTTTTTTGCCCTAAAGCTTGGTTGCCAGAAGTGACAGTGATCTATCACAGTTTATAGATTAACTCTTATCAAGATCCAGTAATGAAAGCGGTTATAAATTAAACTATGCACTTAGAAGGGCACCTGACGACTACATCTCCATGCCTGGAGTTAAAAAAATCGGACCATCTGAGTATATCTCCGGTTCCTGTGTTACAGGCCTTGCCCATGCGCAGTATTTCATTGCGAGGCAGTACGTGGCTCCACATATTGAGCCCACTGATGCTTCCCACAAAGCTTTGTGACAAGACAAACCCACTAGGGTCTCTAAATTTGTCTTGGTCTTGACCAATTACTAGATATCCTCCACCAGGAATTACGTGCCCAACACGAAATCTGCTTCCGTTGTTAATCACGTGACCGTCCACGATCAAATTCCAGGATCCAGCCGTATTTTCCCAGGTAATACAAACATGGTGCTGATGTCCGTCATAATATTTGCCTAGAAGAATTGCCCTGATATGGAAAGAAAAGAAATGTTAAGAAGAGCAAAATATGAACAAACCAAGCAAGACATTTCTAAATTAGGGATTCCATACTGTCAAATTGTTATTATCACCACGAATGTCAAGGATAACCCACTGTACATGTGCATGTGTGTATATGCATTTAATCGCCTATTCATTATGCCATCTCTTGGTTCGTTCATTTATTCATTCATTTATCCATTCATTTATTCGTTCTTTGATTTGTTTATTGTATTATTTATCTATTCATTCACTTATTTATTCATTCTGATCGTGTATTTGTAGCTTGAAGATCAGAACTTTGCCGATACCCTCTTTGTATGGACATAAAGACCTCTCTTTTTTGTTATTGGTACAGATTAAAATCCACCTGGATTTATGAAAACCGGGTTAGCAAACATTTTGCAGTTTCTCTCAACTTCCCCTTTCTTAGCTTGTTTACTGTGTTGTTTGCTTATGTGTTTTTTTGTTTAGTTTTGTGGTTAGGGATTTATGCAGAAGTGGCTGTAGACAGAATTTCGCAAATTTCTTTCTACCCCCCCCCCCCCCCCCCCCCCCCCCCCCCTTTTGCTATTTTTTCCCCCCCCCCCCCCCCAAAATTTTTCCCACAAAAATCCCCTTTTTCTTTAAGCCCAAAAAAAAAAAAAACGAACCAGAAAATTTCGCTTATAAACCCTCAGCCCATAAAAAAAACAGTAAGGTGTTTTTAAAAGGGTGTTAAAAAGGGGGCTTTAATATGGGGGGGATGTGTTTTTTTGTTTAGTTTTGTGGTTAGGGATTTATGCAGAAGTGGCTGTAGACAGAATTTCGCAAATTTCTTTCTACCCCCCCCCTCCCCACCCTCCCTCCCTCTTTGGCTATTTTTTCCCGTCCCTACCCACAATATTCTGTCTAACACAAGTCCTTGATTGCTTAAGGCCAAAAGTAAGAAATCAGGAACCGTAAACTTCCGATTATCAGCTCTAGGCCTATACAAAAACCAGTAAGGTGTTTTAAAAGGGCTTATAAAAGGGGGGCTTATATTTGGGGGGAGGGGAGGGGGGCGCTGGAGGGATGAAAACTGTTTCAAACAAGTTATATAGCAGATCTGATCAACATACTTTTTAAAAAAAGTTTTCTAAGCCTAAAAAGTCGAATTCATTTCAAAACTTGCTGTAGAGAGGGGCCTATATTCTGGAAGGCTTATAACCAGAGTAGATGGGCCTATAATTTGGGTGGGGCTGGAGAGGGGGGGGGAGGGGTTAAAAGAAAAAAAAAATCACCAACAAGGAAATTGAGAAGTATTACGAATTAATAAAATTACAACAACCAGGGATGCATACCTATCTTGGTTTTGAATTGCCAAATGCCTTTTGAAAAGCGTAATTTCATTACAACACGGTTTTCGCACAGCGTAACTAAATGTTGTGCCCTCGCTTAAATCGTCAGTCTTCATCCAAAAGCAAAGGGTGAACATGCTGAGGTTCGCAAACCAGCTCTGGTGGACATAACTAGTCAGGGTTTTCTGTGGGAAATACAAATCATAGTTGGAAGCCTCACCTAAAGAAATAAACAAAAGAAAATAGATAAATAAAATACACAAACAATAAGTAAGTGAAAAAAATTGACACAAAATGATAATGATAACGATAATGATAATGGTAATAACTGGGTGCAACCTAAAAAAAAAATACAAAGTTTGTAATGTTACGATGACATTTCTAGATTCTCACTGAAACAGATAAGTTCTTCGGGATAATATGAGAAGGGAATTACCTAGAGCGAACATAGAGATAAAACCGTGCGTCAAGCGATCGTTTACAAGAGATTAAAAACAATTAAAATTCTAAAAGTTGTGAACGCGACAAGCAAGTGGTCGCGGTCGCTTAGAGAGGTGGTCGTTTTGAAGAGATCCAAATGTATGTCTTTGAGTGGGAAACTTTTGGTGTTTAGGATAGCTGGTGGTTTATGAGGTGGCGATCAGAGGTTCCCCGGTTGGGAGGTTCAACCGTAGTTTAACTGGTGGTGGTGGTGGTGGTGGCAAGGGAAGTGGAGAATTTTAGAAGACATCCCGCATACTTTGCGAAAATCCAACCCTGTTCCTAGGGAGAGAGAACCTGGGAACAAGGATGTGCGAAAATCAAGATTATAATTAAGATTATAACGAGATACTTCACCATCTCTTCCAATGCATGGGTCTAACTGAAAGATAAAAAAATAATAATAATAATTAAGAAAATTAGGGACTTTTTTCAAATACATAGATACTAGATAATAAACAATTTTTACAATTATTGGTTACTAGGGTATCCAAATCTTGTTTTCTTACAGCCGTTATAAAATCATTATTGATGGTGCGTTCCCTATATCTTTGAGTCTAGACATGACCAAAGTTGAGGTCCCAGGTACTTCAAGGAATGTTTACCATAGCTTGTTGTATGAAACCTAGGTAACATAAACTCTTTCACTCTTAGATTGCAACTATATGATGTACTGAGGGAAAACGATCATTCTTTTCTTTACACGTTATCGTGATGTCATGTAATCTTCGGTTCTTTAGTGTTGGAAGGTTTGCCCAGTCTAATAACTCGCTTTATGCGTACTGAGAAATACTCACCAAAACCGGCTATGTCGTAAATTTTCATACGCAAATGAGTTCTAGCTAATCAGAGGAGTGATGTTTTTCACACGTGCAAAAAATAATACCTTCAATCAGAATCGCGAATGATGCCTTATAAAGTGTGAGAAAAATGATACGCCCAATCAGAAGTCACAGAGGTGCGTGAGTTTTGCGTCAAAATTCCCGCCTTTAATGGCCGCTTGCAGCTTGCAGCACCAGTGCTTCCCAGACATCATTGAGAAAAGTTTTTCTCGACAATTATTTCTCGTAAAAAGTGAAAAACATCTCCGACATTGGAGTCGAATAGTTTCGTGTATTTCTCTGTCTATGAAGAGAACTGTAGAGAGCCGGCTGAACAACATTGGAAGGGTAAAAACGGAACGAGACCTAAACAAGTTGTGCTTTTTATCGGACCTACCTTGTCTAACTTCCATTTAAGCTTATTTGTGCTTATATTCAAATCGGCCATTTTCCTTAAATTCATTAATTTTCAGTTGTTCATTCAGAACAAAAGTTAACATTACTTGTAAATTCTAGGATTACCTCATATCCTTACCCTCATTAATATTATTAACTAATATGCTGATGCTTCGTTTTGTTTGTCATTTCGCGGTGTACAGCAAAAATTTTAGCATTTTAGAAAGATCTAAAACAAAAAGGCTGCCAAAATGATGAATGTCTTACTATTTAAATAATAATAAACAATACCACATTGAAAGTACTATGTATATACGCACTCAATGAGAAATCACACTCGTTCGCTCCGTTTACTCTTTCGATTTCTGATACGTCAACACACTCGTGCGTAAATACCGTACGCCCGCACTTTCCATGAAAAATTCTATATATATGTTGAATTACAACCACGGTATACAGCCCTTAATCCCCTTTAATTATTTCCTGGACCCTCTCTAACTTTCTATAATCCCGGACAAACTTTGCTTGAGAACGTTTTTTTGTTAACGCGTACTACCTTACGCAACAAAACTATCTCCAAATCAATAGCTTTACGTAAAGAAAACCCCTTCCCCCAGTTCAAAGTTTTTTTCACAAACGCCCAGGGATCAGGCTTTCTTTTGAAGACACCACAACTCTGCTTCCAGGGCGAGGGGGGAGGGAAGACTCGCTACGGATACGATTATAATATTTTACTGGCCTTGTAGAAGTGCTACATAATGAGTATGATGATGAAGAATAGCAGCCTTAAAAAATTGCAGCTTAGCGTTTGTTGGAATACGATTTTAGTTCGTAATCTCAATATAAATCCCACTTTGTGACTGCTCTTTTAACAGACGATACTGATATGTGCAGAAAAAGATAATTAGTTGTCAATAGTAACACCAAACAGTGTAAAACAGTGGAACATCGATATAACGAAGTCCCATTTGGGGCTGGCAAAAGTTGTTTGCGATAACGAGGTTTCGTTAAATAGAGGTCCTTTTCCTTATATTTTACTATTACTGGGGCAAAGAAAATCACTCGTTATACCGAGGACTTCATTATATGCACTGCAGAGTTTCGTTATATCAAGGGTCCTTGACTTCGATATTTTTCTCTCTTACCCTTGCTCGTTCTACTAATAACCAGACTCGCATACTTTTGATAGTTCACATTTAGATAGTTTGAATCATACCAATCCGTCACTGTATCATGACATTCTTGTAATTTAGCCTCAACTTAAGTCGCATCCTTATCTGATTCAATTAGAATGGAGATTAGGGCATTCATAGCCCACTAAAATCAAAACTAACGGAAAGTAGAAAAATGCAGCTGCCTTTAATTATCCTTATTGATCGACTATAACTTCAAGACTCGCCAATCTAGGGACACCCTTATTACGACACCCTCCGGGAAAGAGTGTGTCCTTGTAAAAGAGTTTGAACCACCCAGCCCCCACACCCTCCAAATTAATAATAATAATAATAATAATAATAATAATAATAATAATAATAACAATAATAATTCATGGGAAAAGAATCTTTATTACAAAACCTCAATGAAAATCCTATTTACAATCAACCTGCTGTTACAAAAAATCTAATTAATTCATCAAAACACTATCTACAATTCCATCCGTTACAAAAGAAACCCTTCGTCCTTCATTAGAGAACAAAAACAATCCTATATATTATAAGTGAAGATGGAAAAAACTATTCATTTACAAATTCTAAAAAATAGAAGTAACTTAACCTTACATAAAAGAAGAGGAAATAGATATAATTAATAATAAAAGTTCAAAATTCTATAAAACTAAGAATTCCATTATGCAGAGATATTAAGATCCTGCAATCGAATTATACTAATGACGGCGAAACCAGTGTCCATAAAAAGCCCTAAGTATAAAAGCATATAGACACGTATTTCTGATAATGATGATAATAATAATAATAATCATAATCATAATCATAATAATAATAAAAAAACATACTTTTTTAAACTCTTCTCAATAAATAGAAATTTAGTATAACTATAGTGAAAAACGACTTGTTGGTGGTCTGTTGGTTTTCAACAGAGTATAATAATAATAATAATATTAATAATAATAATAATAATAATAATAATAATAATAAGGTAAATAACAGCAGTAACAAAACCTCAATATACGAGTTTCCTTTTAAAGAAGGAGAATTAATGATCATCAGATACACTCTGACTTTATTTTGTTTCTTTTATTTTCCCAGTAAAAAAAGAAAGAAAAAAGATAGTACCTGTGCGTCCTCGTAGTAAACTGTATCCGCATCAAAGCTGTAGCACTCAGGACACGTGACTTTATTTGCGTTATTTAACTGACACTCGTTTTGTTTGATGCTGACTGGTTTAAAGTTGTACGATAAGCATGCACTGTTTCTCAAACACTCAGTTCCACAATCCAGGGCTTGAGCAACTTGAAGGGTGGAGATCACGTGATCTTGCAGTACATGGCCTGTAAATATAGATTACTTTTTAAGGTTTGGTGAGCGCGTGCGATTAATTTTAAGCAAACAAGTAAGCGCAGCGGACGAATGAGTCTGTGTTCCTTCACAACTAGTGAATAAAAAGGCGGTTTGGGGACTCCAGACGCTAGCTAAGTTTAAGTAGTTGTCAACTTTCGTAGTCACGCATAAACATTACAGCTCACCCTTAAAAGAAAATAAACTCAAATCAACTTTCTAAGACGACGAAAAGCCTGTAGCGTAAACATATTACCTTCATGCACAGAAAGCGAATACTCGATTGTAGAACGCCGATTTCTGTAAGTCATGACAATATAGAGTACTGTTTTATAAGTATTAAGGCGTCAGAGCAACGAACAAATTCTGATATCACTCGTCAGGGTGCGAAGGTTTACCCTTGGAAAAGTCAAAAGTGAATTGTTGTGACCGACTGAGATCATCACCTTGAGTTCTTTAATTTCACTGACACTTGTAGAAGTTCCACTGTGGAAAAATTTATACTTCCATAATTATTAGTAGCTCAAAACAGTATCGTCAATATATAATACCTTCAAACGCTTGAAAATATCCCGTACGCTGAGTTAAGCCTCTGATAATGTTCGAGTTGACAACCACAGAAGAAAGAAGGAGAGCATAGACAGGCATTAGCCGAATAAAGAAGACAAGACCTTGACTCATCTTGAGAATAAGAATACATTATATGAACGATGCATCGTTTTCGTTATTTTTCCTCACATTGGTAATCAGGATGCGTGTTTTGATCCTCTTTGGCGGGAGAAATTAATTACGTCCTTTTCGCCGTCTGCGTTTTTTTCATGTTTGGCTATTCTACTACAGGTAAATTAAAATACCCTGTCACTTTTTTTCTGAGAACGAAATGATTTCCTGAAATTGCCTGACATTATTTAAACACGCAGCTCTTTTGTGAATATCTAAGAGTAGTGAAGATGCGATACTCTGCCTGGGAGAAAATATATTGTGATTAAATTGTTTAATTATAGTCCTTTATTTTAGTTTCATTTTCCTGAGTTTCAAACATTTTATCATGGATTGTCATTCCAAAAGGAAAAATTAAATTTAAAGTAAGGACAAAATTGAATCACAGCAATAATACTAACATTTTACCATGGGTTCATTATTATCATCATCATAAGCATGTAATACCCGTCAGTGATCAGAGTGTTGTCTCTGATTATCATATATCATTAACGTCTTCTTGCCGAAACGACTTGATAATCATTCAGGTCCAATCAAGATTCTGCACACCTCACTGGTTTCTCCTTATTACAATGAGACTGGATAAAAATATTTTAAAAGAACAATCGCAGCTTTCACAAAAATGTTCAAACATTTACCTCTTCCTCAGCATTCGCCAAATAATTAATGACATCTAGAAAGCTGGCGAATCAAGCACTTGAAACGAATAATCAAAAATTATTTTAAATGAGAAAAAACAGTTTTACACGGACAGGCGTGTCCGAGGAAATATAATTACGACTCAAAAGGTATCAAATTCGGTTGTTGACCTAATAATATTTCAGCTTCTTGTCTTCGGTAGCG